AAGTATCTAACATTTTACCCTATTTCTACTATAAGTGCGGTTTGTATAGAGCCTAGGTTCTAAACAATCAAATTTGAGCCTACCTTCGAAGGTTTTAATATTAAAAATCTTTGTGATAGCCTAAAAATATATTTTTTATATTTGTTTAAAGCTTCAAAAATAATGGAGATCGACATATTAATGAAAATCTTGAAAATTGATGGTCCAAAAATATATTACAAAATACACTATTTCTAAAATTTGAAATCTATTTTTTTTTTATGTCCATGTATCTTGATGTTGAGATGATCGATTTGAAGATATTTGGGCATCAAAACCTCTTTTAATTAAATTTTTGAGGTAGGTTCAAATTTGATTGTTTAGAGCCTCGACTCTATATAACTTTTCCCTTCTACTATTCTATTTAAATTTCTATTTTAAAATTAAATTAAAACATATGGGTAAAGTAGTAAATAGTTAATATCTTAAATGGATTTTGGCAAATTTCTCTTTTTATTTTGAACGTAAAATTTTAGCCCCTTATTTAACCAAAAAAGAAAGAAAAACCAGAATGGGTTACTGTGGTTCCCTTATACAAGCTGTCTGGTTTTTCAGACCCTTGAGATCTCCTTTGCAAACTAGTGTCTCCTGCTGAATGAAGGACCAATTAATAAAATTAGACTTTCCTAAGTGGGAAAAAAAAAGATTCATGATAAGATCTGTTAAGCTGAAGCTCTTGGGCTAAAGCTTGATGGTGAATTCTTCTTGAAAATAAAATAAAGCGGGGAAATGGATCGGGGGCTTCTTTGCCAACCAAATGATAAAAAGTATACAAACCATAACCCTACTACATGGTGATTGGGACTGTAATCGGTGGTTGGGACATTTTTGGCCCGCATCAACCGTCAGGCTCGAAGCCCAGATCCATGCTACCAAAATAAAATAAAAAAACAAAAGACGAGGAAAAACCGCTTCCAAACAGCCTACACAGAGACATCCAACAAATGATTCCCCTGAATCAGAGAGAGAGAGAGAGAGAGCGAGAGTTCAATGAATTTAACAGCTGAGGCCCTTTCAACCTTTATTGATGTCGCAGACGGAGAGGGGGACACAGAATTCCATGAATCCAACAGAGAGAGGGAGTGAGAAGAATGACGTGAATTTAGGAGCAGAGGCCCATCAATCTTCTATTTATGTCAGGCCCTGTTAACAGATGTAAGATGTCATCCTTCATTTACCATTATCCAAAAACGAGCGACCACTCGAGTGAGGAAAGGCTACCATCTTTTCTACAGCTCATAAATAAATCATTATTATTAACTTTCAGTCCAAT